TACGTTATCTAGCCTTGTTTCATAGGTAAATAAGGATATCCATCTTTCTCTTTTCGTTAAGAATAACTATATTGCTCTTTTGCATGTTCTTTTACTTCTCATGTTTGCTCGTAGCACTGTTCTGAATTATTATCTCGTCCTTATTTTTTGCAAGTTCTGTGTGTTTATTTGACTTCGTTATCTGGTTGCTGTTACTTTTAGATAGTGAAGCAAATGGCGACAAACCCTAGTCTCAATTCTGCTTATCCTTTGACAAATCTTGGAAGAATCTTTCAGGATCCTGGGTGTGGATGTGTGTGGTGTTTGGGTGTGGGTGTTGATGTAGGTGTGTGGAAGTGTATCTCTTCTCCCACATACCCACTCACACCCACACCCTTGGCTTGCAAGAAAATGTTTTGGTTGCGATACAAATATTAAAAACGTCTAATGCAGTGCACGCTCACATTGCATATCAATCTGACATTGTCATCAAACAAGGCCTTGCCAATTTCTAAAGCTAGTGTTTTTTTCATATTTAACATGCACTTGTCGACACTGGATCTGAGGCTAGAGTAAAATATAAATGCGGGACTCTAATGTCAAGAAAAATGTTTATTTCAGAATAGTCTTGATGGTTATACAAGCAATTGATGTAGTAATAAAGTCTTGCAATGATTACATGAGCTTAGCATGGATATGATCATCTATTTGGATTCTATTCAAAAAGAAACTTAGCTATGTTTCAATCAGTAGGGTACTAACAGTATTGTTAAGTTCTTTTGCTATTGGATCGAATTGAAAGAACGAATTATTCCTTCGACAAAGCTGATGAAAGAGACTTTTATAATTATTTTATAGCGAATATTTAATACGACAAGTCTTTGTTCTTTTCAATTATTTTTACTATTGCAAAGGAATCAGTGAAAGTTACCCGGATTCAGAAGAGAGCGCGAACTGTTATCAATCCTCCGAGGCTTATGAGAACTTTTTTGTTCTGACACATACAATTTATATATTAGAGATAACACAGAGATACACGTTGGGATCATCAGGAAAGATAGCTCTGGAAAACTTTTCCACGACAAGGAGCGAGTTTTCATAAATATGAAACGATTGTTTGGTAGGTACGGGATGTTCCACTGAGAACTTTTGTTTAATACAACATACCAATGTGTCTGATACGAATATACTCTCTCTATGAGATATACTAGGGTGTGGGTATGTAGATGTGGGTCTGTAGTGTGGGTGTTGATATTGGCGTAGATAAACAGGAGACACACCTATCCATACTCATCCCACCTACACCCACACGCCCTTACATGAGCATCTAGTTTTTAATTCTAAAATAAAAATAATGCCATAAAGCTGTTCCATTGTATTCTTATAAAAAAAATGCTTTCAAATGTTTTTTTTCTTAGTTAAACGAACAGAGCGAACCCTTGATCATCATCCTCTTCTAATAAATAAGCTTGATGTTCGTATCCTCGACAAATGAGTTCCTTATCGACGGTTTCATCTTTAAACTTATTGTGCATATTTTCAGCTAGTCGAAGTATTAATGAAATGGTTCCTCTTTCATCGTCAAATTGTTCAACATCTTTAAGTAATGCAATTTTTTCAGTAACAAGATCCATAGCTTCTTTTCTTTTGCCATCTTTCACTAATTCAGCGACTTTTTTATCCATATCAGCAGCCGTTTGAGTAGCACACATGATTTTTACACGAGGATCAATCTCCATAACGAGTGATTCATCTTCTACAAGTTTTAATGATAATGTATTTTTAATCACCGTAGGTTCACCAGTGGGATCATTTGGTTGAGTGTATCGTAATTCATATGTAAGTGTTTCGATTTCATTTTCACCAGCAACTGCTGTACCAGAAGTTGTAAATTCACAAAGAACTGATCGTCGATTATCGAAATAAAGTTCACCAAGACTTGCACCAGCAGCAATATTTTCATGACCCCATATCTTTGTAACAACAGCTCCATTTTTACCACGTACAATAAGACGAGCTGCTGATCCACATATACCAAAGACATTTACAAGAACTTTAGTAACTAATGATTCAATCACTTGAGCTGATTCAAGAAATACAAATCTTGATCCTCCAGCATCAGCAATACCTTTCATAATTTCAGTATCAAAATCAGCACCAATACCGAATGAATCAGTTATAATGCCTTTATTATTATATCCAGCGACAAGATTTGTTAATTCAGCTCGTGTTTTCATTCCAACATTAGCTTGTCCATCAGAAAAGAGGAACATACGACGTGAATATCCATTATAAACATATTTCTCGAGGAGACTAGCAGCTACTTCAATAGCACCAGACATGTTTGTTGAACCAGCAGTTTCAATTTTGTCTACAGTAGAATAAAGAAATTGACGAGTAGATGCTCGTGCATTTTCAAAAATGATGGATACATCAGCATCATATGCAACAACATGAACTATATCATCATCGTGAAGAAGATTAAGAACAGAAACAACTGCTTGTTTGGCAAATGTTAATTTGTTATCAGCTTCCATCGATCCACTACGATCAAGAATAAGTACTAAATTGAGTGGTGTTCATTTGATTGTTTCTCCTTTGCCTTTTGTTTCGATTTCGAAACGAACCTTTTTTGTGTTCAAGACGCCAGATATGACGTATGGATTATCTGGGATA